GGTGCGAGGGGACCGGGGCGGAGGTGTCTGGTAAGTGACTACGCGGCGGCGCGGGGGCAGGGGGATTCGGTTGGGGGAGAAGGACGTGGGGCTCCCGGACCCTCTGAGGCTCCCCGGAGACGGGTCCCACTGGGACGGGGCCCCAGGCTCTTTTGGGGACGAGCGCGGTGCTTGGAGCTGCACAGAGCTCGAGGGTGAGGGGCCCCGCGGGAAGAAAGACCCGGAGTCTCGGAAGCTTCTCCAGGTGCGCCTCTGGGAAGGAATGGACATTCAGGAGGTCGGGGGAGGGGTGCCCGCCCACAGCCCTCAAGGCGCCAGGGGCAGCCGTCGGGGGCGGGACCCCGCACTCCAGCCCTCCCACGGGCAGCTCTGGAGGGCGCCAGGCTCTGGAGCCCTAAGGAGCGTTTTTCCCGCCCGTCTCCCCGCCCCCAACCCCCGGCGCTGCCAGCCCACTCCGGTCCATGAAGTCCTCCATCCGCGACCTTGAACCCCGACGGAAATACCCCTACCCTCCCCCGGTGCCCCTCCCCCACTCTAGGACTACCCCCTGCTGTTGTCCAGGCTCCGAGCCCGGGAGAGCCCGGGAGAGCCGGAGCCAAGCCCCGGGCCCAGTGGCGGAAGTGTCAGGCGCAGTGTCCCCGGCGAATTCCCTGAGCCCCTTTTCCCTCCTGTAAACTCTTGCGTCTCTTCTCCCGCCCCAGGGACGGATCCAGGGGCACAGCCTTTCCGGAGCCTTAAAGTGAATGCCTAAGAACCAAGACCCACACCCCAACCCCCTCCCCACGGCGTCCAGAGCACGCGCTCCCTTCTCGTCCGGAAAAGGGGGGGCTCCAGAACCCGGGAAAGCACGGTGCCCACGCCCAGAGGCTGCAGGAACTGCGTGCTAGGGGGTTGGGGGGAGGGCGGGGCACCGGAGAGGCAGGGCCCCATTGACCAGGAAGGGGACCTGGAGGAGCCTCCAGGAGAGCCCAATAATAACTCCCAACCCGGCCCTCGAGGTCCACCCAGGCCCAGAGCTCGAGAAACCGGGAGCCCACTCTAGCCTCTGGGGCCAGATGGTGCCTCTCCGGCGGGGCATAGGGTTAGACATGTGGGAGGGAATGAATCTTACACTCAACTGACCTAAACCCCGGCTGGGCCTCCCCGTTTTGGGGGTGCTGCCGGTATACTCCCACCAGCTGACTGGGCACCCTTTGACCATAATGCTCCTGAGCACACTGAGCTGAGCCGGGTGTCTTGGAAGGCCAGTGGGGCGACTCCAGCAGAGGCCCCTCGACAGAAGTCAGTCCCAGGCTGGGACACCACGCCACAGCGTTGGGGACCCATACACCACTGGGCACTGGCTGAGACGATGCCCCAAGGTCAGGAGGCCCGTCGCAGCCCAGATTGTAGTCTAGCCGCGACCCCTTCCCACCCACGAGCGGGGCACGGGCACGATTCAGACACTGGCTCTAGACGGGATCTTCTCTGCGCTCAGACAGCGGAAGTCTGAACTGAGGTCTCCTGGCAGGGCGGTTTGAATCCGGGCAGGTCACCTACTGTGGGCTTTGCGTTTGCTCTTGTACACAAACTCACAGGTACAGGCATACCCAAATCGTGTGCATTCCCCAGACCACAGCACCCCGGGCCCGCGCACGCATGCACAAGCACGTGTCCACATGGCATGGGCCTGCTCACGCGCACACGGGCCACTGGTATCCAGGCGTGGCCGAGCGCGCACACACGCACATGCAGACAGCTACTCGCTTCTACTCGCGCTCCCCAGTAATCACACACAAACAGAACTCGCACTCGCCTTCCCGCCCACACATTGCTCGGCGGGGCCGGGTGGAAGCCCGGCGCCCTTAACTTTCCCACCATTGAACCCGCGCGGCGCCGAGGGCAGCTCGCGAGCAGGGCCTGGCAAAGGGGTGGGGTTGGGGGGTGCGGGCACGTCCTACCCTTGGGAGGCCCTGCCCTGGAGCCTCTGTGTTCTCGGTCGCACTGGAGTTGGGGGCGGCGGCGAAGAGCCGCCGCCCGCCGGGAGTCAGGAGCCGGCACCCAGGGCTCGACATTGCCATCTAGCGGTGTGCACAGCCCTGGGCAGCCGCTACTCGACTCCCGGATCTCCGGATCTCCCGGCGGGCCTGGATGGCAGAGAGAGGCCCCAGAGAGGGTTGCTGTGAGAATGTGTGCGGGGGGGTGGGGGGGGGACCGAGGGGTTCAGAAAGATGCTGGGGCAGAAGTCGGCAAGGCACCATGCTTCACCCTTTCTGCCGCTGGCAGCTTCCCCTAGCGGACCCAGAGGGGAACTAAACCACCTGTCACCTCCTTGGAGACAAGATGTCTGTCCCCCATGGAGATAAGAGGTCTCTTCTCTTCTGGGAAAGCTAAGTGGGGGAGTCGGCAGGGAGCGGGAGGGAACCCTTAGTTCTTTGATTTTGAGCAGTGGACAGCAGAGGCAGGAAATCCACCTGAGACAGGTTGAGGTTGAGAAGGTGGCTCCTGAGTTCTAATTGAGCCCTTCCCCCTTACACATGGGATGACTTTGGGCAAGTTAATTGACATTATCCTCATCTGTAGGAAGATAGTTACATCAGTGAGATGGGGATACTAATAGTACCGGCCTTATCAGGCTTCTGTAGGGATTAAACCAGGTAATCTGCTGAAAAAGCTCAGAAGGATTCTTGACTCCTAGTTAACACTCAATAAACCAGGGCTCCTATGTTTTTCGTATTTGGGACTTCTGGCCCCATTCCCATCTCGCTGGCCTGTGTCCTGGCCCCCGGAGGCTGAGATGGGGCTTTCCTTGGAGCTGGCGGACAGATCCATCCTGCCCACCCTGCACTGGCTTGCACCTGCCTGGGGAGGGCCGGCCCTCCCTGCTAGGTGCTTCTGCCCTACCAGCTCAGAGGGAGACACCGGAAACTCTCCAAGATGAAATGGGGCTGTCAGAGACCCCAGAGAGGCTGATTTTTAGCCTTTGCCCTTGACTCATGTGTGACCTTGGAAATGGCAACACCCCTCTTTGAGCCTCTCCTCCTGAGAACCAAGGATTTAGACAGGCGAATGTGAACTGCCAGGCCAGGGGGCTGGGTCTGCAGAGGGGAATGAGAGGGGTTGAGGCCAGGAGTGGGGTGGGGGTGGGTCACCCTGGTTCTTGCCTCTAGCCTCTGGCGCATTTTCTTGCGGCAGATGGAAAGTTCAGTTGCTGGTCCCCATAGCTGCTTGGGAGGGGTCTGGGGCGGGGTCCTCTCTATTTTGCAAATGAGAAAGAGACGGGTGGGAAGGTGAGGTGGCTGGTCTAGAGCCAGGACCCTGCTGGCCTTGGAGCCCGGGCTGCTGGGTGAGTGCTCCCTTCCTCCACACTGGCTGCCTCGCCCTCTCTCTTCCTCTCTGTCACACACAGACGTTGTGTATACGACAGCGCGCGGGGCTGGCGGGGCTGGGACGGGGCCCGTGTGCGTGTGTTATGGTGCGTGTGTTGGCGGGTGTGAAGGAGGCTGGGCTGAACGGCTGCCCTGGCATAGCGCACTGGGCGTGGGCCTCCCTCACGTGTATGGGAGAGGAAAGCAGGGGAGAGATGAGGAGGGCCCTGGGTGGGAGCTGGGTACAGGCTCAGCGGAGGGGCCGTGTGCTTGGGGGGTCCTAGCCGGGATGCTCTCCATGTGTACTGGCGGGCCAGGAGGTGCCCTCGGGGTGGCCACAGGCTCCCCTGCAGCGTCCCCCCTTTCCCTCTGGGACACTTTGAGCCCCTTTGTGTCCCCAGTTGGGCCGAGAGCTGGTGCCGGCCCCTTGGAAGCCCTGTGTGTCTTTCCTTGGCTGACAGGCCCTCTCAGCTTCTGACTCCTCCTGGTCCTCCCTCAGCCCCTTGCTGTGGATGGTCCCTACCACCCCTGCACTGAGTGCCCCCCACACCCTGGGGCTGGGATGGGGAGCTCGGGGAGGGGAGGCTGTGTTGGTATGTACCTTCCTGGGCCCTCTACATGGCACTCTCCTTGTTCTCAGTGGTTCCCCACTCCAGGCCACCCCGGTCATCCCCGGAGCCTTCCCCAAAGTGGCCTCACGGGCTCTTGTGGCTCTTCAGGTCTCCCTCTGCCAGAACCCTTAGGCTTCTGGGGCAGCAGCAGGACGTCAAGGACTTGTGGAACTTTGGGCGGGTTATTTAGTATCTCTGTGCCTCAGTTTCCTCACCTGGAAGTAGTGAAAAATAAAGGTTTCTACTTCACAGATGTGTTGTGAGGAAGATATTAGTTAATGTTGGTAGAAAGTAAAGTGCCCGACACTTAGTAGATGAGAAGTCTTAGCTGCTAATATATATTCTTGCCTGTGTCCCCAGTGCCATCTAGGAGGATGGAGGACAGGTCCCCCGGGATGTTTGATCACAAAATGACTGAGGAAGTGAATGAACGCTCCTGACCAGAGCTACATGCTGACGTCTGGGACCACTGAAGACCCTCCCCATTGCTTCTCTGGGGCCTGCACACACTATCCTTCTCTCTCTGCCCCATATGTGCCCCAGGGCCTTTGCTCTGGCTATTGCCCCGACTAAGCCACCTCTGTGACTCTTCACATGTCTGTCTCCTTGCCATTGTTCAGATCCCCTCCTTGGAGAGGCCTTCACTGATCACCCAACGAGGGAGCATCCCTGTCTGTCCTCTGACTCACCCACTATATACCATTTGCCCTCTTGTTTTCCTTCTAGCTTTTTTTTTGTGTGTGTGTGTGGTTTGCACGTTCGTCTGTCTGCCCCAATCAGACTGGAAGCTCCGTGAGGGTGGGGATCTTGTGTGTCTCAATCACTTCCGTGACTCCTGCATCCAGGACGGTGCCTGCACACAGTAGGCGCTTAATATGTGAAGAATGGGTGAAGAAACGAGCCAGTGATGGGCGGAGTTCTCCAAGGTCCCACAGGACGATATTCCTCTGTCACCTCGCATTACCTCTCTAAACCTTCAGCAGCTCACCCTTTCCTCTCTCCCTCCTCCTCCAGACACTGCCTGGCTGCCCCGCTAACCAAAATGGCGAACATCACACCAGTCAATGGCAGCTCGGGCAACCAGTCTGTGCGCTTGGTCACGTCCACGCATAACCGCTACGAGACTGTGGAAATGGTATTCATCGCCACGGTGACGGGCTCGTTGAGCCTGGTGACTGTCGTGGGCAACATCCTGGTGATGCTGTCTATCAAGGTCAACAGGCAGCTGCAGACAGTCAACAACTACTTCCTCTTCAGCCTGGCATGTGCCGACCTCATCATCGGCGCTTTCTCCATGAACCTCTACACCGTGTACATCATCAAGGGCTACTGGCCTCTGGGCGCCGTGGTCTGTGACCTGTGGCTGGCCCTGGACTATGTGGTGAGCAACGCTTCGGTCATGAACCTCCTCATCATCAGCTTTGACCGCTACTTCTGCGTCACCAAGCCCCTCACCTACCCAGCCCGGCGCACCACCAAGATGGCAGGCCTCATGATCGCCGCCGCCTGGGTCTTGTCCTTCGTGCTCTGGGCGCCCGCCATCTTGTTCTGGCAGTTCGTGGTGGGCAAGCGGACGGTGCCAGACAACCAGTGCTTCATCCAGTTCCTGTCCAACCCGGCGGTGACCTTCGGCACTGCCATCGCGGCCTTCTACCTGCCTGTGGTCATCATGACGGTGCTCTACATCCACATCTCCCTGGCCAGTCGCAGCCGAGTCCACAAGCACCGGCCCGAAGGCCCCAAGGAGAAGAAGGCCAAGACCCTGGCCTTCCTCAAGAGCCCCCTGATGAAGCAGAGCCTCCAGAAGGCCCCGCCGGGGGACGCGGGCCCCGAGGAGCTGCGCAACGGGAAGTTGGAGGAGGCCCCTCCCCCGGCCCTGCCGCCCCCGCCGCGCCCCATGGCCGACAAGGACACTTCCAATGAGTCCAGCTCGGGCAGCGCCACACACAACACCAAGGAACGGCCCCCCACGGAGCTGTCCACCGCGGAGGCCACCACGCCGGCCATGCCCGCCCCTCCCCTCCAGCCACGGGCCCTCAACCCCGCTTCCAAATGGTCCAAGATCCAGATTGTGACGAAGCAGACTGGTAATGAGTGTGTGACAGCCATCGAGATCGTCCCGGCCACGCCTGCGGGCATGCGTCCGGCGGCCAACGTGGCCCGCAAGTTCGCCAGCATTGCCCGCAACCAGGTGCGCAAGAAGCGCCAGATGGCGGCCCGGGAGCGCAAGGTGACTCGGACCATCTTCGCCATCCTGCTGGCCTTCATCCTCACCTGGACGCCGTACAACGTCATGGTCCTGGTGAACACCTTCTGCCACAGCTGCATCCCCGAAACGGTGTGGTCCATCGGCTACTGGCTCTGCTACGTCAACAGCACCATCAACCCCGCCTGCTACGCCCTCTGCAACGCCACCTTTAAAAAGACCTTCCGGCACCTGCTGCTGTGCCAGTATAGGAACATCGGCACAGCCAGGTAGGCGGGCAGAGGCGCCACAGGAGGTGCTGGTGGTCGCGTGTGTGCGCTGAGCTGCGGGGGTGGTCACGGGGGTGGTCCCTCCCGTGGCGGTCACGGAGAGGTCTGGAAATCTGGAAGCGTCTCTCCGCCTTCCTGTTCACTGAAGAGAACTGAGGTCCCCGAGAGCCCTGTGAGGCTCAGGAAGCAGCTGTGGTGGGACGCAGACAGACCAGATCTCCACTCAGCACAGGCCGAAGGAGGCTCAGCCCCAGAAGCGTCTGGAGCAAGACTGCCTGCCCCCCTCCCTCGTTGGCCCTCCTCAGGTTGCTGGGAGGCACTGGGCTTCTGGGGCACCCGGCCCACTGTGACCAACCGGCGCGGCTGGGAGAATGGACATCTGGGGGGCAGCAGAAGCCCGGGATCCCCGTGGGAGGAGCAAGGGAGCCGATGCTGGGGAAAGGAGGCTTGGGAAGGGAGTGGAGGGGTAGGGTCCCCCCATTCTGCTGTAGTTGGTGCTTTCTCCCTGCTGCACCCCGCATGTAGGCCCAGCCCCTCCTCCCAGGTCCCGTTCCAGGGGCAGGGCGCTCTCCTTGCTGCAGCTACTCGGCCAGGCGCTGGTTGGGTGGGCAGGTGGGCTAGCTGGAGGCCAGGCCCTTCTGGGCTCTCAGGCACCCCCCTTCCCCTCTCAACCCCTTCCCCACCCCAGCACTGTCCTGGTCATGGTCAGGATGGGGCAGCTAGGAGGTCAGCATCTCATGCTCAGGAGCGGAGGTCTGGCTTCCTGCGGTCCCGTGCTGAGCAGAGAGGCCCCCCTGATTCTGAAGAGCCCCCCCAGCAGGCTTCTGCAGCATGTGAGGGAGGCCTGGGTTGCCCGGGAGAATGGGGGCCAACTTGACCCACACAGGGTTCAGGCAAGCAGCTCCCATCTCCTCTCTCCCAATGGACAGAACCTTCTATTGGTAGTGGGTTGTACCAAAAGACCTTTGCTTGAGAGTGGCTGAGATGCGGAGTGTCAAGTTCTAGGGAGCCTTCTGGCTTCCCAGCTCTGGTGTGTCGCCCCCCCCCCCCGGAAAGACCAGACTGAAAGGCTCGGGATGGATGGGGGCACCCTTTCAGGAGTCAGTCAGGGCCCTGAAAGCAATTTTTCATAACCATTCTGCTTTTTCCATGAGCTCTGGGGAGCACTCACCGCCAAGTCCCCCAGCCCCCTGAAAGCCACATCCCTACCGCCTTCCCTTTCCTTCCCAAGTTTCTGCCCCAACAAATTACCACAGCAAACTCCCTGGGTTGGGGCTTTTATATATTAAATGAAAAGCTTTTATTGGGAAAAAAAAAAACAAAACAAAAACACGACTGTTTATTTATTTCTCAGTAATGGCATCTTTGTGGGGAAGAAGAAAAGGGGGTACCGGGAATCACATCCCTCTGGGGCAGGAGGCTCAAGCTGTCCACAATCCCCTGTCCCTCCCCATCTGGGACACTTGGGCGTGGGGGCAGAGGACTGAAAGGGAAGAAGCAGGGTATGATTGATAAAGCTAATGAGTAGACAAAAGGCACTGGTAGGTTAGATCTTGGGCCTGTGGGAGGGAGGGCACCAGCCCTGGGCTCCTCGGCATCCAGACCTGGCTGCTAGTCCTTTCCCTTCCCTTTCTTGGCTGTAAAACAAGCAAGAAATAGCGTGTTATCGGAGTCACCTGAAGTTCAGGTGACCTGGTAGAGACCCCTTGTATATACATTAGGGAGAAAACTCTGCCCCCTAGTGGCTGCAGATCTGCGGGCCGGGTCGCTGGAAGGAGAGCGCAGCCATATTGATGCTGAAAGGGCCGCCACACCGATTCGGGACACTTTCATTGGGGGTCAGGAAATCTTCAAGTTCTTGGTCCCAGGGGCCCTCAGCCTCCACCTCCTCACCTAGCAAGGTGGGCTTATTCACCTCTGCCCTGATGGCCTCTCTGTGCTGCTGTGAATTGGCAATGAGCTAAGGGGTGGTGGAAGTCGGGACTGGGAAGTCCTGATACTAGAAAGGACCCAAGCTGACCAAATGTTTCCTCTGGCTGGAGAGGTGACAAAGGCAAGCCCTTCTGGGACAACTCCCTGACTCCCAAGCAAAATGCTCCAACAGAACCAAAGGAGTTTGTACTTCCACTCTGGCCAGAAGGATTTGATAATCCTTGAGCACCTTCTGTGGCTCACCCTCAGTACCTGCCCATCTAAGGCATCTCTACGGACAGGAAAAGCATAGGGCAGAGGTGTCAAGAAGTCACCGCCACAGTCCAGAACTTTAGGCTTAACCATTCCCTCTCACAGGTTGTGGAAGGCCCCGGCAATGACCACCCCCAGCCCCCAACCAGTTCCCTGACCTTTGGCCTTGGCTTTGGTCTTGGGGGTGCAGGGCTTGGTCACGCGGATGGTCTCCTGGCACTGGGCATTATACCGCGCCTTCTTCAGGGTGCCTTGGCGGGCTTTGGTGCCCGTGCCCCCATCACAGGCCCCCCAGCTCTCAAACTTGTACTTGCAGTCCGCTGGCGGGAGAGCGCCCTGGGTCAGATCTGGGGGCCCAGTGGTGGCCACAAACCTGCCCAGGTTTCAGTGAGGCTGCCCCCCCCAGCCCTCCCTCCGCCTGCGCCCCACCTCACCTCCAAACTCCTTCTTCCAGTTGCAAGGCACCCTGCACCGGGTACGCTGAGTCTGGGCCCCACAGGTGCCCTCGCGGAAGCCCACGCCGCAGTCTTTGCTGCTGGGGGTGCAGGGCCCCCAGGCCCACTCCGCGCACTCGGTCCCCGGGCCGCCCTTCTTCACTTTGTCTAAGACGCACGGGGAACGGAGCTCAGACTCACTCCGGGACCGCTTCCTGGGGTCCCGGCCTCGGAATGCCGGCGGCCAGGCCCGAGGCTGCCGGCCTCACCCGCCGGTCTCCAGCCCTCCTTCAGTCCCCCACACCCCGTATCACCTTTCTTTTTGGCCACCGCGGAGGTGAGCGCCAGCAGGGTGAGGAGGGCGAGGAGGAGGAAGCCTCGGTGATGCATCCTGCGGGGAGATGTCGGGTCAGCGTCCCCCGGCCGCCCCCTTCCCCACGGGGGCGCCGCACGCGCGCACCTCCCACCCCCGGCCCCACTCTCCAGGCCCACGGGCCGCGGCGGCGGCGGGAGGGCTCTGGGGTCGGCCCCTCGCCGCTAGCCGGGGCGCACAGCCCAAGGTGTCTCGCTGGGGGCGGCCTGGAGTCCAGGACGCAGCTCGGACCGCCACCCCGCCCCCGGGGCCCGGGGTCGGCCGGGGCCCAGCGGGCGAAGGGCCGAGGCCGCCGCTGCAAGTCCGCCGGGGCCCCCGCGCGCTCACTCGCTCGCTGCCCGCGGTGCTGCGCTCCCTCCCGCGCCGGGCCAGTCCCGCTCCGGCCGCCGCGGCCCCTTTTGTCTCCAGAACCGGTCTGAGCCGGTCACATGGGCCCCCGCCCCCTTCCCGCCCCCCCCACCCCCACCGAGGAAGGACCCGCCCCGCCCCCTCCCCTCAAACCCGCACCGCCCCCGACCCTGGCGTCCCCGCCTCCGCTCCCGCCCCGCGCCCCCCGGCGCTTCTACCCCCGGCTTCCCGCCGCGGGTCCCCGCACCCCCCGTTCGCTCCGCCTGGGCAGTCCATGCTCAGACGGCGGGCTCTGCCTGCCCCCCATTTTCCGAGCCCGGGGTCTCCCGGCCCCAGGCCCCTGTCCTGCCCAGGCTCCCCGGGGCCCTGCCCCAGCCCCAGCTTTCCGCCGCCGACTCTACCCCCTTCGCCTGGGGCCGTTCTCTTTCCCCGATGGACGCCCGCCCTTCTTACCGGGGAGGGAAGCCCGGGCGGATGGGGACTCGGGAGGGAGCTCGGAGCTCCGGGGGTGTCACGGGTACCGGCGCTCCCGGGGCCTGCGTTCCAGCCTGTGCGAAGGTCCGTCCCCGGATGACTATTTAACCCCGTCGAGGACCGGCTCTCTGCGCCCCCTTAGGTGCTGGGGACAGAGCGCCAGCCCCACCTCGGGTCGCTTCACCAAGTGTGCAGGGAGCCGCTCCGCTGAGTGTTCGGGGAGCCTGGGACTGGGAGCCCCAGAGAAAGCGCTCGGGCTCGGGGGACGCGGGCCGCGCCGCTCCTTTCAGGAGCGCAGGTTTTCGGGGGCGGGAGCTGGGGGAAGTTGGGGGAGGAGGAGCCCTCAGGCTTGGATTTGGTGAGGCTTGGGAGCTGACAAGAGCCTTCTGAGAAGTTCCAGACCCAAACAAGGCGGCGGCTGCAGATGCCCACCCCTTCCGATCCTGGGGCCTGGGGGATCACCTCACCCGATCCCCTAAACAGCAAAAGCAACCGATGCCTAGGGGAGGGGGCTTGCCCAGGGCCACAGGGCAAGGGGCCGAAGAATCCAGGCCTCGCCCCCCGCCCCACCTCTCTTTCACTTTCATTGTTGTCGTCCCTGCGGGAAGCGGGAAGCGAGAGGAAATCTGCTCCTCCCCCGGCCCCGCCGAGCCGCGCAGCCAGGCAGAGGTCAGGTCCGGGGCAGGCCCTGAGACCCCACCCCCAAACGGGAACCAGGAACCCCCCCCTCCACACACACAAGAAAAGGTCTGGGTCCGCGGTGTCCAGTCTCCCCACCACCAGACCCCGCTGCTTCTGGAAGACCTCCTCCGCAAGTAAAGAAGAGCAGAAAGGAAAAAAATCCTCTTTACTGAGTCACACCCAGCTGTAAACATGTCACCACAAGAGCCCCCACTCCAACCCCCAGGCCACACAGTCGGCGGTGATGAAATGACTGGGTACACAGGGTCTCTGGGGGTGGGCACCAAGCGGGGCAGCGGGCGCAAACGCGGCAGGTTCTGTGTTTCCAGGAGGAAGCTCCCCAGGAGGGTGGGATGGGGCAGGAGAGGGGGCCCAGGCTGCCAGGCTCAGAGTCAGGGCCCTCACCAACCGGGTGGCTTAGGAACCCTCTTCCCGAAGGCTCCCTGATAGGGTCCCCGGCCCCGCTGCCCTCCCCGTGTACCCCAAGGCCCAGGGAGGGCACCCATGGCGGGGAGGGCGAGGGCCGCCCTGAAGTGGTCCAGCCCCAGTCCCCTCAAAGGCCTGCCCCGTCCAGTGCAGTCTCCTGTCCCCCTGTCAGCCTGGGGTCAGGTTGAGGCCTCAGGCCACAGGTGAGATCCCCCAGCTCCTCAGAGTCCAGCCCTAGGCCTGGGCAGCTCCTCAGGGGGCAGCACGGGGCTCCTTCCCTGGGGCACGGGTCCCCCCGTGGTCATCCGACTGGAATGTGGCAGTGAGGTGGGCGATGGGGGGCTCCCCCTCCGGTGGCCACGGGTCTCGCAGCTACACAGCCGTCTCCTGGTCCTCCCGCTGGACCATCTGGTAGTGCTGCCGGTTCTCCAGGTAGGCGGCCAGCTCCGTGTCCTGGGCCTTCTCCGCCCGCTGCCGGGGAGTGTCGCCCTGGGTGGGGGGGAGCGTGGGCAGCGGCCATCACTTCTGGGGCCTCAGGAGAGGGCCGGGGACCTCCCCTCCAGGTGGCCAGTGAGGAAAGGAAAAGCTTCAAAGGACAGGCAGTCATGGGCCCCTCCCCCCCGCCCGCCCCACGGGCTCAGGTTTCTCAGAATCCAGACGGCGTTGGTTAAAGAACAGATTCCAGTCCTAAAAGGCAGCCCTTCTCCATGGCTCCCGCTCACAAGGGCAGGAGCTGGAGACAGGGCTGCCCTGTGCCCGCGTGGACGCTCTGCACGGCTGCTCACCTGCTGGTCCGTCTTCATGAGGGAGGCCCCCGCCTCCACGATGTAGTGGCAGATGGTGCGCTGGCCCAGGGCTGCCGCCTGGTGCAGACAGGTCTCCCCGCTGTGGAAACGGGCTGGCTGTGGACCCCCGTCCTGTCCTCGGGGTCCTCTTGTCCGCCTCCAGTGGGCGATCAGAGAAGGGAGCTCGGGGCTGAGGGGCAAGGGATGGGGCCTGGAAGGGTTTCTAGGCTCTGGCCAGCTGAGTGGGAGGGGCTGGAAGACGGGGCAGTTTCCAGGGTCTGGCACTGCCCAGATACTCACTTCTCCTCCACAGCGTCAAGGATCTCTGGGGGTGCTGGAGGAGAGGGGATGGGGCAGTCAGAGAAGACTGGCAGCCTCCCCTCCTCCCGCCTTGGCCCTAGCCCGGGCCCCCTGGTGGCCCAGCTCACCGTGGTCCAGCAGGTAGCGGACCACATCCTTGCTGCCCGTGCTAACGGCATGATGCAGGAGCGTTCGGCTCTGCTCGTCCCGGTGCATAAGGTCGCCCCCAGCTCGGTGCAGCTCCTGGAGCTGAGGGCAGGGGACAGAGCAGGGCTGGGGCTCCTCAGGGCCATTTTCCTGCCAGCCACAGAAATGTCCCCCAGTGCACAAAGGTCGTAGGCCTGACACTACGGCGCTCACACACGTCATCCCTTGGGGGGGGGGGTCTTTCTGGAGTGCAGGGGAGAGACCCTGGGCTTCTGGACTCCTCAGGAGCACGGACCCTCAAGCCCCGGGGCCGGTGGATCCCCTAAGACTCGCTCCTTCCTGAATACTGGGGAAAGACAGACTGTGCTAAGCCCCTATGAAGGGACACTGTGAGGGAGACAGGGACAAGGCGGAATACGGCAATCACCACGGAGACCCCGTGGAGGGGCATCCAATCACAGATGACAGGAGCTGGACAGGCTAACTTGGCCCCACCCAGAGGCCCTGACCTCCCTGGGTGCGACCTCCCGGCTACGGCTGCGGGGCCACGGGGCCATCGGGCAGAGGAGCCCAGCCCTGGCCAGTACCTTACAGAAGTTGTTCCTCTTGGCAGCCTCAATGAGCTCCTCACCTGCACAGAACACCTGCCGTCACACTCGGGGGCCGCAGACCCGACCCTGCGTGGGTGCACAGATGTGCCGGCCAAGGTGTGGGTCTGCCTGGGGCGCCCACACTAGGCTCGGGGTGGGGTGACCCCAGAGCCCTGGAGGGCTGTGGCTGCAGCAGGCCGTGTGTGTGGGCTCCACCCCCACCCGGGACCAGGGAGAAGGGCTAGGCCTCACCTTTAGGGGGCGCCGTATCCCCTGGCAGCGACCTGCAAGCAGAGCAGGATGAGAAGCGACCCAGGGACCCTTGTCAACCCCCCACCAGGGAGCGCCCTGGGTTCCGTCCAGTTTATTGAGTGCCCCCTACAGAGCAGGCCCTGTGCCAGGAGCCAGCCACACAGCAGAGAACGCGACACACGGAGAGCTTGCTCTCGCGGAGCTTACATTCTAGTCAGGGGGACACACAAGTCAACACATAAATCAGGCCTTCTCAGAGCAGGAAGGGCTACGAAGAGCACAAGACGCTGGGGTGGTATGATCTCACAAGCAGCGTCAGCTGGGGCTCCTGGGGAGACTTCTCTGGGGAGGGAACCCCCAAGCTGAGGCCTGAGTGGAGCAGGGAGCTTGGCGAGGAATGGGGGACCTTTCTGAGGTGGCAAGAAAAGGGCAGAGGCCGGCACAAAGGGCCGGGCACAAAGGGCCGGGAAGAGCACAGCACTGGGCAGTGGGGAAGGACGTGAGGTTAGAGGCTCCAGCCCAGGCTGCTGTGCTCGGAATCCTGGGGGACAGCACACAGGACTCGCAGAAGAGAGATCAGAGGGGGAGCCCGGGTCTCCAGCCAGCGCAGCAGGGTGGATGGTGACGGCACTGCCCCGGGGGGCAGAGGGCTGGCCAGTTGAGCTTTGGGAAGGTTTGGTTCTCCGCCAGTGACTCTGCCAGGGCGGGTCTGTAGGGACCCAGCATCTAGCAGGACACCGGACACATGTCTGGCGCCGAAGGCAGGAGGTCAGGAGGCACCGGCTTGTAGGTGGGGTTTCGAGCCAGGGGGCTGGAGGAGACGTAGGACTCACCGGAGTGTGGGTGAGCAGGGGGAGGTGGGGAGGGGGGAAGTGGGGGTTGGAAGGTCAGGCCGGGCCGATGCCCCCAGCAGCTCAGGGTCCAAGATATAAATCTCGTCCTGTGCGATCTCCGTCACATAGTTGAGGTGTTCCTGTGGGTGGGGAGGTCAGGGGCCGAGAGTCAGGCCCTCCCAGGGTCGCCGATGCGGGCAGCGCAGATGCAGCTAGGCCGGAAAGGCCTCCGCCAGGAGCACAGACAGCCGCAGGTGGAAGCTGGGTGAGGGGCCCTGCCAGTCTCTCTTCCCCTTGCCTACCCAGCTCCTTCCCATGCTAAGCCTCTGCCTGGATCACCTAGCACCTGGCCAGAAGTGCCTCCACCTCTGGAGCTCACTGGGTGGCCCCTGTGCTCCGAAGCCCGTGCCCCCACCCAGCCAGACTTTCTTGGGCACGACAGCTCCCTGTGCCTGTGCGCAGCGTGCCTCCACCCTGTGCGCGGGTGGGAGCAGGTGTGCGGGCCCCATCCCGCAGGACAACAAGCGGACCATCTGTGAAGCTGCCGGCCAGAGGCAAAGGGGCCCCTGGGCTGGCCCAAACGACCGCAAGCTGCTCACCTGGGCCCGGTCGATCCTGTAGAAGCGGCTGGCAGTGGTGGCTGTGAGGAAGCAGAGAGCTGTCTGAGGTGGGAGGAGGCCATTATCCAGGCCTTGAGAGTCTGCTACCCCACCAGGAGCCCTTTGGGAGGGGCAGCACACAGCCCAGGACTGCCAGAAGCCGGCACTCACCGTCTAGGAAGCACCACTTGGGGGACAGTTTCTGGCAGGCAGGGGACTTGGCTCCAGCACCTTCGGGCTCCTGCCGAGAGAAGCCGAGGCCAGGAGTCGGCAGAGAATAGAAACTAGGGTGGGTGGGCCCACACCGGGCCAGCTCCCGACCCCCTCACCTGCTGGAGCCTCTCGATGTGGGCGCGGCAAAGCTCCAGGTCGCTGTCTCCAGGGACCACCACAGTGCCCAGTGGCACGGCTGGGGGACAGAGCAGGCCGTCAGCAGCTGGCCGTCCCCGCTCAGCCCCCTGCCCAGCCCTCAGGGCCCTCAGCGGCTCCTTGCCGCCTGCCACTCACAGGCCTCCTTGAGCTGTTCCTTGTCGTAATGCAGGGCCTCGTAGTCGTGCATGCTGACTCTGCTCACCTGGACCCGGAGCTGCTCGGGCACGGGCTGCTGGCTAGGGCGCGGGCGGCAAGAGGGCACTCGGGAAGGGTCCTCAGCTGGGCGCCGCACCCAGGGGCCCCACCCCACCTCCCCGCAGCACAGTGACGCGGAGGTCCCTGTCCAGCTGGGGAAACCACGGCTTGAGAGAGGGGCAGAGTGGCGGTGGCCGGGAGGGGAACGTACTCGCTGTGCAGGGGGGCGGCGCTCCGCCGCTTGGCCTTCTGCACCATGGTGGCCTGGTTACGCAGGGCGATGCGAATGCGTGAGGCTGCAAGCTTGCAGGGCTCACCGTCCACCTGCACCGGGATGGCCTTGGACGTGGTGAGCACCACCTCGCGGCACTGTGTCAGCCGCTCGCCGTGCCCGCCCACCTGCAGTGCTGCCTGTGGGCGCAGAAAGCTCAGGTTAGGAACCGGGGCAGGGTTAGTGAGGCCCCGGGCTCCATTCCCTGCAAGGATGCTCCAGCCAGGGAACACAGTGACAGTAACCCCCCAGAGAGCAGAAGGACAAGACTCCAGTCAGAGACAGGAGGGGAGAGAGAGACCCTGGTCAGAGAAAGAGGGGGAGACACCAGCCAGGGAGATGAGAATGAATTCTCCCATCTTGGCTGATGAAGGGAAGTTTCGTGGTCCCCCCACCTTTCCATCTTGGGCCAGTGTTCCTGGTCACTGTGGGGACAGAGCCAGGGCTCCAGGCAAGTCCCATGTCGGCCTACTCACCAGGGACGTCATGGTAAAGCCAATGACCTCGAGGTAGCCATCATCGTGCCGCTGGGGCTCAAATTCGTGGTGCTCCCCAGGGTGGCCCCAGGGCATGGTGCCTGCGCAGTACCTGGAGGGGACGGCAACACAAGGACCCTCAGAGGACAGTCGTACAGGCAGTCGTACATCGGGGCGCACACAGAGCCTCCCCTCCTCACCTGGGGATGTTCAGGAAAACGATGCACTGGGGTTTTAGGTCATGAATCTTGGGGGTCAGGTCAGTCCCGTCACACTGCAGGCAGGAACAGGGAGCGGGTGTAGGATGTGTACCGGTGCCGAGGCGGCCTCCCTCCCCGCCAGGCCCGTCCACTCTGCCTGCCAGCCTGGCCCACTTACCACCACTCGGATGTGCTTGGCCAAGTCCTTAGAGCTGCCCATCAGGAAGTCAGAGAAGGCTGTCTGTGGGAGACAGAGGGCGTCACCATCTGGTGACAGGGACTTTCTCTCACCACTGCCGGCAGGGGTCCCGTGGCCCAGCAGACACAGGTACACAGGGTGTACAGGCGGCAGAACAGTGGGCATGGGGAGGGAGTGGGAGTGGCCAGGGGTGAGGAGGAGGGTGCCTGTTGCCAGCTGACCCCAGACTCACCCCGGCATAGAACATCTTATTCCGAAAGCGGCTGTTGAATTTCTCTGGGTTGGCCTCTGGGTGGCGACAAGAAATAGGGGACAGTCAGTCTGACCTGCTGGGGCTTCCCAGGCTGGGGTAGGATTGAGGGCTGGGAACTGCCCAGGGGCAAGTTCTGACCCTCTCGGGGAACCTCCTGTATGCCCCCCTCTCCAGCCTCCTGATGCCTTCCCAGCAAGTGGTTGCCCACCTCGAGACTCATGAAACTCCAGGGTGACGTGGGCATCAAAGCCCAGGCTGAAGTAATTGTTGAAGACATCCAGGGGCAGCTGGAAAAAGGTCAAGAGCCCAGCATGAGGGCTGGACCTCACAGCCACCTCCTTGCTCTGGCCTGCTCAGGGCCAGGGGCCACCACGCTGGCTCAGTCCATGCAGTTCTGGAAGCTTTTCCCAGTTAACAGCTCTTCCCTCTAGCCTGCAGCCTGCCTCAGGGTCCGCCCTCTCAGCTCCCAGCATCCATGGGGCTCCTCCAAGTGCCCAGTATACAAAACACCCGGGGCTCTGTGGGCACTCTCTTCCCTGGCTTTCCAACCACCCCCCAACACTTCTTCCCAAAGTGCCACATTCTGGAGGAGCACCATGAGGACGAGGACTTTGTTTTCTTGGTGCTTAAAATGGTGCCTGGCATGTGGTGGATATTCAGGAACTATCTGCCCAGTGGCTGAATAACGGCTAGCTTGCGGGGGTACCACTGTTACCACTGCCCAGGAGAGGATGAAAGTCTAGGGGAATGAAGAGATTTGTCCAAAGCCCCAGAACCGGCAAGTAGGAGAGAACGCTTCCCCTGCTGCCCCCATAGCGGCCGCCCCCACACTGGCCCTGGCCGGCCTACCCGGTCAGTGGCGCCCTCGTCGCGCTCCTCCGGCCCCGCATCGGGGTTGGGCTCAGCACGGAGGTCCCAGCGGTCTAGCTGCACCACGTTCCCCTCCTCCACGTGGGATAGGATCTTGGACACGGGCTCATCCGTGTAGCCCTGGTGGGACAAGGCAGGAACTGAGCCTCTCCAGGGTAGAGGGCCCCCCAGCCGCTCAACCCACCCCCGCCCCGCTCCCCGCCTATGGGCTCTTACCCCACCCCAGTTGAGGGTACGGGCCAAGTCATTGCCAGTGCCCAGGGGCAGAATGGCAACAGGTGGTGGGGGCTTTAAGCGCAGCTGGTCCAGAGTGGAAAGGATCCAGCCGACCTGAAGGGAGAGGGGCAGAGCAGAAGAGGCCGGGTCAGACCCGTGTGGTCCAGGCTCCGGCCCCCCGGCCCGAGCAGCCCGAGGAGCGGCCACAGGACTCACCGTGCCGTCGCCTCCACATGCCAGGATCCGCAGGTTGTGCACTTTGCGGTACATCTCCAGCCTGGAGTCAGAGGATGGGAACAGGGTCGAGGTGTGTGGGCCTGAGCCTCTGTGCCAGGCAAGCCCTCCCCACCATCTCCACAGGGCCGCAGCAAGCACTTACGCCTCCTTGGGGCCTCCCTGGCTCAGGTCAAACACTTGTCGGGGGTTGAGATACCACAGGAAGGACTGGATGATCTTAGCGCCCTGCAGGGGACCGGGGGAGTCAGTCAGGGCCTGCGGGCCGCAGCGGAGAGCAGCACCCGAGAAGGAGGAACCAGGCCCAGCAGGGCCAAGGGGTGGAGACAGGCTCCTATTTCCTCAGAATCTCTGGGTCACAGGGATGGGGCAGGAGCTGCAATGGGACCTGGGAGCAGCTGCTGGGGATGGGGGCAGGGGTGAGGAGGGGGTGGTGAGGAGGAGGGGTGCGGAGCCTGAGCCCCCTCCTCCCCTGCAGGCTCTCCGTGGAGCGGGGCGGCCATGCGTACCTGGTTGCCCCCACTCTTGGGGTTCACAAACACCAGCAGGGGCTTCATGAGGGGAGAGGGGGTGGGTCTGATGATGAAGGGTCTCCAGCGGCCCTCCTTGGAGACAGAGAGACTGTAAGGCTCCACCCCAGCTTGGCAGACCTCACCCCCGTTCTCGGCAGTGCCCCCTCCATTCTGTCTCCTGGGCAGACGTTAAGGTGGGCCTGGCCACCGAGAGGCACCTTGGATCCAGCCTCCCACCCTCCTCCGGGGCCCAGAGCCCACCGGTGGCTGCACTGGCCCAGGGAGCTCAGTACTTCAAGAAACAGGCTCAGTCAGCCCCAGGACCAACCTCTGGCCCTTTCTTGCTAGATTTCCTCTTGAAGGATGCTCTCTTCTTCTTCTTGCTTGCCTTGAGGGTATTCTGGAAGGGAAGCAGGGGCATTGGGAACAGGCAGGTGGGTGGGGGCGGCCGGCAGTGCCCACGCGTGGAGGCGGTGTCCCGGGTGTGGGCGGGACTCACCTGTGGCCTGCGGGCGCGGAGGATCCAGGTGGGCGGGATGACCACGGCCGCGTGCACGCCCAGGGAGCACGGCTCCTCTATCTGTTGCAGCATGAAGCAGGACACCTTGCTGTGGTACTGGGGGGCGGGGTGGAGGGCGCACCTGAGCTGGGCCTGAGCTGACACCGGGGGGCCCCCACCCAGGGCCGCCCAGGGGACGAGCTCGGGGCCGCGGGCGCCACTCACGGCCTGCTTGCACCAGGAGCAACTGATGGCCACAATCTCCTTGCTGTGGAAGGTGAACTTCTGCTGGAAGCCCTAGGGTGGAGACGGTAGCTGGGGCACCAGTGGCCGGGCCCAGAGCAGCAGGCCCAGCCCCCCTTCCGCGGCTAACACTCTCCACCCAGGGAAGTTGAGCCCATTCTTTAAAATTGAAACAAGTGTCGAGTGAGCCCCCAGAGCAGGGAGGCCTGTAATTCTCTGAAGTCAACTCCAAGGAGTTGGGTGCCCATACCCGATCTGCTAGAAGGGGTCACAGCTAACTCCCGCCAGTGGGAATCCCCCGCTGCTGACCCTGAGGCCCCCCAGTATATGCTTAGAGGGCTTCACACTTCTTAACAGCACCTGCCACATTCGTTCCCTTGTTCATTCCATGTTTACTGACGTTTACTGAGGGCCTGCTGTGTGCCGGGCCCTGTGTGCGGCACTGAAGTGAGCAGAGGAAAGAGGAGCGAGGCCCTGAGACCTTCTAGAGCCTACGCTTACTGAGGGAAACACAGCAGAAGCAGATGATGAATAAGTGACCGCCACACTGTGGACTGGGCTCAGGAAGACTGCCCACAGAGTCTGTCTTCAAGCCACATCCTCCTCCAGGAAGGCAGGGACCTCACAACCCGACTTGGGGCTCAGCACCCAACAGGGGTTCGACACATACTGTGCTCAGTCACCAAACGAGGCCGTCTACACAATTCTCAGAGGGTGCTCGCATGGCTTCTGGGCAGTCCAGATACACTGCGCCAGAAACTCGCTTTCTTCCCTGCTCTCCTACTCCGTCCAGAGACCTGGGTGTTCTGGGACTAACTGGGCCTCTCGGCCAGGCTGGAAGTAAGCCCCAGGACTCTGCACGCACGAGACACCGTCAGCAATGGGCAGGTCATACTGGACACACGGCCTGAGGCTCAGGGGCTGCAGGGGTCAGGTCTGGGGGGCCGCGGGCTGGCCCACCTCCCTGGGCAGAGCCTCACCTTCCCACAGTGCCGACACTTGCCATCCTGGCGTCGCCGGTGTACCCAGTGGTGCCGCACAAAGGTTGGCTGGTGGAGAAGGAGAGAGCATCACTGGAGTGAGGGGTGGACAGGCGCGAGGCCTGAGTGTGGCCGGCAACCCCAACACACTAACGTGAGGTGTGGGGCTGCAGCAGGAAGCTCTCTGAAGCATATGTGAGGAGAGAGTGGCTGGAGACTTCCCTCCATGGCCTCAAGGTGGGGGCAGAAGAGCAAGGAGGTGCATGAGGCAGGCAGTGCCTCCCCCTCTCTGCAGGCAGGGCCAGCCACCCCTTCCCCATCAAGACCCTCTCTGAGCCTCAGCCCTGCACCTCCCTGGGCCCCAGAGTAGCCTCAAAGGGGCTAAGTCCCCCAATGGCACTCTGGAGACACTGCAAAGTCCACTCAGGAAACTTGGGGCCTCCTTACCAGTGACTATCCTGGGCACTTACCTCACGGATGTTCCTGGAGCCTGATTCACGGAAAGACGGCTTACAGCGGAAATTTATCTGTGAAACATTGCAAGGACCCCCCAAATGTCAGAACCTCCTTTCACGGGGTCAGGCATCTAGCCACCTCCTCCAGGAAAGTGTCACTCAGAGTCATCCTCGCAAGGCAGGGATAGCCCCAAATCATCCTGGGAGCCCTCAGAATATGAGACATCTCTTCTCAGTAAGCCCTCCTGCATCCCCTGCCTCCTCTCCACTAGTCAGAAGGACCTTTCCCTTCTCTTTTATTACCCGGGGATGGGGGACACTGGGAGTTTTATGCCCACCTCCCCCACTAAAAGGCAGCATGCTTTACTCCTCCCAGATTTTCCCTTGTCCTCCAGCGCTCCCGGCCTAGGCTGGTGTAGGCACCCTGCTCCTTGCCTGCAGACTGGTGCGGGCTGCTTCCTGGAGACCATTAGCTCATTCCTGGAAACTGCTTTGGTTTCCACCTTGGGCTCTGGAACGCTTAGGGCTATGTTTGTTTCTCTTTTCCCAACTGTCCCTGCTTCAGCCTTAGCACAGTTAATGGGGAAACCTCACTCTAGGAGTCAGGGGCAGGGGCAAGTGGCCCATGTTAGCCGTGTTCATGTTGTTCTTATCCTACAGGCTTTCCCATGTGCTGCTGGGGTTTCTGCTGCCTGGGGAGCCCTAGCACCCTCTGTCCGGACCTGCCTCCCCAGTGCCGCCTCTACTTCCCTTTGGAAGCACAGGGCCCACACGTGCCACCAGCTGTTGACACACTGTGGACAACAGTCCTTAGGGCAGACAGAGCCAAACTTCAGCAAGACAACAGCCCCTTCTACATGTGAACTTAGGCACAGGTAAAATGGTGTCTTGGCTGTCACTCATTCATTCATCCCACTGAGTAAAAGTAAGCCCCACTCTGTGCCAGGTTTGTTTAGGGCAGTGGGGACAGTGTGGATACAAAGTGGGGGAGACAGAATTCAAGAGCAGGCATTCCAGCTCCGGGGTCTTTGGCTCTTCCCACCACGCGGGCTGGGACATTCCTGGCAGGCAAGGCTTGTCACGTGAACATGCATGTGGAGACACACACGTGTGCACTCTGAGAGGCCCTGGGCACCCAAGGGAGGGGCGGGAGGGGCTGAGCCCCGTCCTCACCTTCTCCAGCTGTTCGATGCAGGGGGTGTGCACCACGATCTTGCAGGCTGCACACTTTCTCCGGGACACTGATTTCTGCTGCAGAAAACGAAGAGAGGGCCCTGAGGCACCAGGTAACTCCGTCCAGGACTCTGCCCCAGGGCAGGAAGAGAGAGCCTTACATGTGCCCCCACGGCTGCCTTCTGTTCACTGGGACATCCCAGTTCTGGCCTCAGAGCAGAGCCCCCATTCGTCCTGCCGTCCTCGGGCAGCCCTCAGCAGGGGCGCGCAGGTGAGTGTCTTGTTCCCACCTTCCCTTCCAAGGGCTACCACTGCCAGGCCCACAGAGGTCCACCCAGGGCTTCTAGACGTGCCCCACCAGCAGGGGGCAGCCTGCCACCCAGAGCTCACTCACCAGCATCTTAGCTACACAGTACTGCTCCCCAACATAGCAGAAGTCCCCCGACACGTTGGTCTCGAACCAGATGTGTTCCCCATACGTCGCGGACTCCTAGACCATGAGACGAGCGTGCTCAGCGCAAACCCGCTACCTGGCCCATCAGTCAGTCCCCGCCCTGCCCTACCAACTCACCATCCTCCCAAGGCAAACCTCCTCCGGCCACCACAATCTACTTTGCTCCATCCTGTTTCCCCACTGTCCTTACTTTTCTTTTTTTTGAAGGTTAAAAAAAAAAATCTTAAGTAATCTCTACACCCAACGTGGGGCTAAAACTCACAACCCCCGAGATCAAGAGCCACAAGCTTCACCAACGGAGCCGGCCGGGGGCTCTTCCCACTATCCCTGCTCTTGAGGGCTTGGCTCAAACGTGGCCACCCCAGCAGGTCGGCCCTGACCCCAAAGGCCCATAGGCTCCTCCTGCAGCTGCCCTGAAGCCCAGCAGGGGCCGGTACCCTCCTGTCCCTCCCTCCCAGCACCCTGCCACTCACGCTCCAGTCCACAGTGCTCCGAATCTGCCGCTCCGGCTCACCGCATGGGGCTCCAGGAGTGGGAGGAGGGGGTGCCAGGTGCTGGAGGCCTGACTTGGTGATGGCTTTCCTACAGAGAAGGAGATCGCTGAGGCCAGCTGAACGCCTGGAAACTCTGCTTCTTTCCCCCCCTCACCTGGGGTGTCTGTCCTTGCTGCGACTTCAACCCCTAGCCCAGCCAGGGATGGCAACGAGGAGGATAGGGGACGCCCCGCGGCAGCCCAGGACTCTGACAGGTTCCCTCCAGGAAAGCCGGCCCTCCTCACAGCCCCTGTGGGGTGCGCTGGCTTCCAGGCATTGTCTGGACTATTCCCCAGAGAGGGGGTGCCCTCGCACCAGGCCAAGCCTGGAGGTCCTTCCTGCAGGCCAGCCCCCTCGGGGTCGGCACACTCGCCCTGCCGGCCGCAGCTATACCTACGCAAGCAGGGCGCTCCAGGCCTGGGGTCCTGCCGACTTGCGCCGCAGGGCCACCTGACGCCTGCGGGACAGTGGGCGCACACAGGCGGCCATCGGCGCGCCAGCGGGGGTGCCCGAGGCTCTTCGGCCCCCCGTGCCGAGGTGCTGGCCTGGAGACCGCTGCTGGCTGAGGCGCCGGTAGTAGCCGTGCAGGCCCCACAGGGCACGGTCATACACCACGTCAGCCGGGAGCAGGTGGGAGGAGGCCCGGCGCCGGCGCAGGCAGCGAAGCATGGGCGCGAGGGTGCCCTGGTGCGAGGAGGGCCCCAGTCTCCTGGTGCCTGGCTGGGTGGCACTCGGTGCCGCAACGGCCACATCCTCCTCCTCGCTCATGCCTACGAGCCCTGCCAACAGCAGGCATGTGCCCAGAAGCTGGGGCCCGGCCGCGGCAGGCTGCAGGGTGGGCCCCTCGTCCACGATGAAGCGGGGGTTGCAGGCAGGGGGCACAGTGCTGGAGCGCCGGCGGCTGGGAACCCGGACGCTCCCCCCACAGCTCAGGAGGCAGCCCTGGAGCTGCGCACTGGAGCGGCGCCGCTGTGCCAGTGAGGAGGACGCCTGCCCGGCAGGGGAGCGGCGTCGGGCCTTGCCTGTGGGCAGCCCCACGCCGCTGGGCTGCCGCTGGCCCTCCCCAGGGCCAGGCACCTTCCGCTGGAAGTGTGTCCTAAAGAAGGTCTCCATGGCAGGGGCAGGCGGACAGCTGTGGGGCAGAGACCGGGAGCATCAGGGGCTGTGCCAGGCTGGGGCCCGCCCTGCGCCCAGGCGCCCAGCCACAGCCTCTGCCCTTGAGTGGACAAGGGACACAGGGAGGAAGGGGGAGGGTCCACGGCCTCTGACCTCCATCAACATGGTGTCTGAGGGTACCACGGAATCCTCAGGGGGCCCATCTTTGTCACAGGGGGAAGCACTAACACGCTCCCCAGTTATACCCTATGCCGCCCCAGGAGTTATGGGGGAAGGGCTTCTGGCTCCCCATGCGGCTCCCCGTCCAGGCACCATACACCACAAAACCCTGGCCTTTGGCTCCCTAGCCTGAAGCTGATGGAAAAGAAAAAAGGAAGCTGGAAGCCCGCAGTCCTGGGTCCCAGGTTGCAGCTGGCCTCCTCAGACTGAGGGGCCAAGGAAAAGCCTTTTCTTTCCCTCTCTTTGGGCCTTTGTTTGGCTACCGACTCAGGGCAGCCTGGGTTTAGGTGTCCCCTCCCAGGACATGGCACAAACTAAGCTATGATAATAAAATGAGGCTCTCTGAAAAGAAATTCAGTCCGGTTATGCCCCTAGACTCTCTCAGCTGCAAGTCGTGGGGTCAGGCTGAGAGGGCACTTGATGCGGAGAGGATGTGACTTAGGGATCAAAGGGCCCTGGGGACCAAGGCCCTCAAGACCAGGGGAGAGCCACCCCAGGCCTCACACAGGGGCACCCTGTATGGGGAGCAACGAGAGGCCCGAGCCAAGAGGAAAGCGCTCTGGCTGTGCATCTCTAGCTCTGAGGGGCTACAAGAAAGAACTTTCCTGTTCTAGACTGCTCTGTCTTACCGCGCTGCAGAGGCCTAGTACGCATCTCCCTCATCTCCCTCGCATCTCCCTCATCTCCCTCGTGTGGAAGTACCGGCTGCCCCCCGGTGAGGTCTGCAAACCCTTCCGGCCCAAAGCTAGAAGCTCTAATGCTCAGCCCAGAGCTCCCTCCTGAGGGAGGCAGGACCCACAGGACGATCCTTCCTCAAACCATCCTCCCTTGACCTGTGCTGAACATGGGCCCAGCTTCCTTCGCCAGCTCACCTACTCCTGGCTGCCCCTTCTTCACAGGCTGCTGGATTCCTGCACCCTCACTTCTGAACGGTGGGGAAGGGCGGGAAGCCCGGTAGGCTTGGGTGGGGGAAGAGGACGGGAATGCCTTCAGAATGCCTTCAGGGATGCCTGTGCCCCACCATCGGGTGATCTCCTGAGCCCTTGCAGCCACAGAGAGGTCCGAGCCACAGTCATGGGACACCTGCCTAGGCCCGACAAGAGAAACACGTCTGCCTGCTGAGGGCCCGGCAGAAGTCAGGCACGGCGGGTGCGAGCCTTGGACAAACGGGGGTGGACGCTAGGCTCGAGGACTCTGGCCCGGGCTGCGAGTCTACTGGCTGTTTCTCCCACCGCCCACTCACGGTGGTCTGGGGGAGCAACGCCAGGCTAAAGCCCCGGATGGGTGCGGGGGTATCCAGGGAGGGGCACACGGAGCCAAGGTGTGGGGAGGCAGGGTGCCTGGGGAAGCAGGGTTGGAGACCGCCTGTTACAGGCAACCACCTCTGCAGGGGACAGGGAGAAGGGCAGGAGTTAAGCTGGGTGGGCAAGAGGACGGGCGTGGGCAGAGAGCTCCCGGCTTCCTAATGCAATCAGTATCATCACAGCTAACGTTTATTGAGCTCACCATGTGCCAGGCACTCTGCTAAGCCCTTCACAAACACACGTGTCATTTTATAAGCCAGAGCGAAGCAGAAGAATAGGTCTGAATCCTGCCATGTTCCTGATGGGAAACTGAGGCACAAGGCGGTAACATGCCTGAAGTCCACAGCGAGTCAATAGGGAGCCAGTGATGGAACCCAAGTCTGCGTGAAGGCAAAGCCTGTACCCCAGAGCGGCGGTGGAGAATAGGCTCCTTCCTTTTAGGCTACAGGGCTGGAGCTGAGTGGGGACAGCACAGGGAGGGGAGCCCTAATAAGAGCAACAACAGCCCCACTGACTGAAGACCTGCAGTGGAACGGCCCTGAGCTAAGTACTTTCATTTACCGTCACACTTGATCCCCAGCACAACCCTGTGAGGCCTGGACAGGCACAGCATGTGGCCCAGGTCACAAGACCGGTCAGCGGCAGGACCAGGACCCAAACCCAGGGCTGCCTGACTCCAGTCTGTTCAGCACCTGGGGAGAGAAGCCTGGAGGCCTGGCTGCCCACTGCTGCCCGGGCGCTGACTTGCCAGCGCTCCCCCAGGGTGTCAGCTTTCCCCAGCCGTCCGGTCAGGCCGCCCTGTGACAGCTGCCCAGCCTGGAGGAGATTAGTCACCCGGATACACCGCCTGATGCCAGTGTCACCCAGAAAACAAAAGGCCACAGTCAGTAGGGGGGAGGTGCTGCAGGCACTCTGAACAGGGATGAGGTCTGGGCCCTGCCTGCTGCCCCAGACCCAAACCGACAAGAGGGGCCAGGGCGCAGAGGCCGCCTCATGATAGGGCGGCAGCCGACAGGCGCTCCCACGGCGCTCTGGCCCACACGCTGCTGGACAACCCCAAGTGCAAGCGTCCTGGGGCCTCATAGGCTGCCTGGCGGCACGGTCCCTGTGAGTGGGGAGCAAGGCAGGCTAGGCCAGGCCGGTGTTGGGTGACCGTCCCCACACGGGCCTCAGTTTCCTTGTTTGTCCAAGGAGGCTGTGAGACTGGCCAAATTGATCTTTTATGAGAAGGTGTCCAGCAAGGCACCCATGCGTCTGTGCTCCCAGTGCCCCCTCCCTCCCAGGCCCCATGCTTCCTGCTCCTCTGGTCGCCATAGAAACCTCTGTCCTCTGGTCAGCAACAGCCTGATACCAGACTTCCGATCTCTGCTGAGGCTTCTCGTGGGTCCAATGAGAAGCCCTGGCTGGCCTCAGGCCTGTCCCAGCCCTTCCCCACAGCACAGCCCTGGGCGGTGGTATTTTCACACTGCGTGCTCTCCCATCTCCATCGTCGCACGAGTTACGTGGGGAGGTCACTGCAGGAGGCCCCACGGCGTTCTGACACCAAGAGCCGAGCACAACGTCTACCCCTCAGCCTTCTCGTGACGGACCTGAGAGAAGCCTGTCACACCCAAAGGGGACAGGATGGGAAAGGACTCAAAGGCTCCATGAACCTCCAGCTGGCTGCTGAGAGCCTAGGGAGGGAGGACAAAGGATGCTACAGGAGAGACGCCCATGGTGGCATCCGGCCATGTGACCTGGATGACCAGCCCCCAGTGTGTCTACAGGCACCTGCCAGGGGGTGAGCAGGAATGCGTGCCCTGGCTTCGCTGGCTACTGGCTAGAAAGAACCAGACTCCCTACCTCCCAGCCCAGACTCTCTCATACCCTATGTTAGTCTCAAGTGGAAAAGCCCAAGGGCTTTGGAATCCTAATCTGCCATTGCTTTCCCGGCCATGGATCAACTAACCTTTCTGACCCTCAACTTTTTCCTCTGCAAAATGGGGGTACCACCTAGTTCAGAAGGCTGGCGTAAGGAAGGTGCCAATAAAGTACCTGGTGATACCTGGCAGAGGGCAGGGCCTACACCGTCAACAGACACAAGGGCCTGTGGATCATGCCATCTCTTGGGGTTTGTCTCTGCCCGAGGCCAAAGTGGGAACCCAGAAAGGGAAGTAGGGGAACCCAGGGTGGTCGCCACCCACCACATGAAGAATAGAGCCTGACAGCCAGAGTCACCTGGAGATCTGCTCAGCTATGAGAGATGCACTCTGCCCCTTGCACCAGGCCCGGCCCCCAGAGGTTTTCGCACAGGATACCCCATGGGATGCAGCCGGGGTTCTCACTCCCTCAGGCTCCTCCCCTCAGGGAAGGTTGGGAATGGTGCACAGTGGCCCCATTTCCAGCAGCCCCAGAGGAAGGGCCTGGAGTGGCCTCCCCAGGGGGATACTGGTCAGAAGCCACCTCTGGCTGCTCTGCTCCCACAGCCCCAAGGTCAGAGGGAAGGAGGTGGGGACAGTGGGAAGGGAGCACAACCTGGAGGCTGCTGAGACAGGGTCTTCCTCTCTGAAGGTCTTTACTTGCGGAGAGGAGCCTGCTCCTAGCACAACAAAACAAATACACAGCGGGGAGCAGGTGGGCCAGCGCTGCACAAGAAGGGCAGCAAAAGCAGGCAGTAATGTTTACCTCCAGAGTCTGGTGGGCGCAGGAGCCCAGCCCACCCTTTCCTTTCCCTTCCCTTCCCTTTTCCGTCAGCTTCAGAGCCTCATCCAGAAATGGTGGTGCATGGACCCACCCAGATCCCTTCCTCCCCGGACCCACCCTGACAGATACAGGAAGGAGGAAGCAGAAGGCAAGGAAGGGTTGGGGGGGGGGGGAGTCCCCTTTGACCTGATCTAGAAGGCAGGGTGGCAGGCAGGAGGTGGGCGAGCGGGTGGGGCCCTGGGGTCCCTTGGGCAGGCAAGCCCCGGCTCTGGCTCCAGCTCCAGGCTGCTGGCCTCTGGCTGAGCAAGTCCTAGTTTGGAGAGCCAGCCGCTGTGGCTGCTGCTCTGCCCCCTCCCCCTCGCCACCCTCCTCCCCCCTGCCTGAGCAGCCGTTATGAAAATAACCCCATTGGTAACCAACTGCACTTCCTCTCCCAGCAGCGGCTCCAGGCCCTGCAGCAGGCCCATGGCCGGTGGGCGGGCGGGCACACACGCATCAGCCCTGCCTCCTGGCTTCTCTTCCCAAAGTCCCCAGAGCCAGGCTGAGCAATAGCCTGGTGGCCTCCCCTCCACCCGGCACCCGGCAGAGCACACACAGCCCCTGCCTTGGCTCCTGGAGGTTTGGGGAAGCAGAAGTGGGGGGTGGGTCGCACCCCCTCTGGCCACCGTATGTCCTCTTGGACATCCGGTAGGATAGGTGTTCTGGGGTCTGGAGCAAGCGTATGAGACAGCTAATCACTGGCACCCATCAGAATAACCACAAAAACATATGTGTCAAGGCTTTCACAACTTACAAAGCATGTTATCACAAGCATTATCAGACAGGATGCTTATGATTCTCCCGCTCGGGTGGCATTATTGTCCCAGCTAAACCAAAAGGGCCACCTGAGGCTCCCGGAGGCCCGGGGCTGTCCGAGCTCAGAAGTGGCTAAGCTGGGGCTGTCCAACCCGGGTCTCCTGGCCCTGCCAAGGGGGCCTGCCAGAGCTGCCCTGGCTCGTGTCCCGGAGAGGCCAGCCCATGTCACACTCATGCTGTCCAGAATGCCACCCCTCTCCAGCTTACACTCCTGGCTCTCTAGGGTCGAGACTGGCAGCCCTCAAACGTCCACCACCCCTTGACACTCTTTAAAATTACTGATGATCCCCAAAAGATTTTGTTTACAGGGGTTCGAGCTACTGCTATTTACCGTATTAGTAATTAAAACTGAGGAGGCACCTGGGTGGCTCAGTTGTTAAGAAGCTGCCTTCTGCCTTCGGCTCAGGTCAGGATCGAGCCCCCATCGGGCTCCCTGCTCAGCGGGAAGCCTACTTCTCCCTCTCCCACTCCCTCTGTTTGTGCTCCTGTTCTCACTGTCTGTCAAATAAATAAATAAAATAAAATAAAAAGAAATTAAAACTGAGAAATTTAAAATATATGGACTCATCTAAAAACAATAAACTCCTGGGTACCTCAGTCTGTTAAGTGCCTGCCTTTGGGTCAGGTCATGATCGCAAGGTCCTAGGATCGTGTCTCCCGTCGGGTTCCCTGCTCAGCAGGGAGCCTGCTTCTCCCTGTCCCCCTGCTTGTGTTCTCTCTCGCGTGCTTCCCTCTCAAATAACTAAATAAAATCTTAAAACAAAAATAAAAACAAAACAAAAACCCCCCAATAAACTCATTGTGTTAACATAAATAACACATACTTTTCTTTTAAAACATAAACTGTATTTTCTTAAAAAAAAAATTAGCTAGAGGAGTGTCATTGTTTTAATTTTTGCAAATCTCTTTAATTTCTGGTTTAATAGAAGACAGCTGGATTCCCCAACTGCCTCTGCAGCCAGTCTGTTGTGATACATTTTGGTGGAGCATGTGAAGAAAATTCTGCCTCCCTCTGACATGTCGTTAGAAGAGAAGTATTTTAATGTGCTTTTCAAGCAGTGATGGATGTTCTTCTTTGCCACTATATCACAATATGACAAGTGGTTGTTTCTTAAAGGTTAGTGGCTACATGGAGTCTGAAACCGTATCAATGAACTTTTTTTTTTTTTAAGATTTTATTTATTCATTTGACAGAGATCACAAGTAGGCAGAGAGGCAGGCAGAGAGAGAGGGAAGCAGGCTCCCTACTGAGCAGAGAGCCTGATGCAGGGCTCGATCCCAGGACCCTGAGATCATGACCTGAGCCGAAGGCAGAGGCTTTAACCCACTGAGCCACCCAGGCGCCCCATCAATGAACTTTTCACTCTTGTATTCTGAATTCTGTAACATCTAGCATTGGAAAATATATTTTACTGAGTTATGCAGATCTGCCAAATGTTGACACATTTCCTTATACAAAATCAAGAACTCACACTTGCTAACATCACCACTGGTCTAGTCAGAAAAGTCCTTAAAGTCCTGGGAAGCTGTCAGGCCCTAGACAGTGGATACAAGGTTTCTAAAATTCTAGTTTTTGCTTTTCAAAGGCTCAAAGTTTACCATTAGCAACAAATACTGATACTGGTTTTGAAGTGGCAAGCTCACTTCATTCATTTCTGAGCAAATGTCTGCCAGATACCCAAGTCTGAAGACTTCTGTCTGGCAGGTGTTCTTTCACGTTAAAACGGTGTTCCTTAAAACACGTTAACTCGCAGAGCTTGCAACTCAGCTACAAAACTGCTTTTCAAGGGGCGCCTGGGTGGCTCCGTGGGTTAAAGCCTCTGCCTTTGGCTCAGGTCACGATACCACCTGGGATTGAGGCCGCATTTGCTCTCTGCTCAGCAGGGAACCTGCCTCCCCTTCTCTCTGCCTGCCTCTCTGCCTACTTGTGATCTCTGTCAAATAAATAAATAAAAAATCTTAAAAAAAAAAACCCCAAACCTGCTTTTCAAGACAACCGTCACAGTCCGGATTGCAGCAAAACTGCCTCCTCCACGCAGAACATGTGGAAAGAGGTAGACTCGAGGGTCTGGACTTTGTAAAGTCAATACTTGTTGTTGCATCTTGCTGTCGTGAGCGGGAGGCACACAACGGCTTCCAGTTTATGTTGGGGCCACTGCCTCAGTTTGTGCCCAAGTTCCAAGCTGCTTCACGCCACCCTCGCCTCTGCACCGTGGGTACGACTGTTAATGTGGTGAAAAGAGCACGAGCCAGGGCAGCTCCGAAAGTACAATTATGCGAATAGTGTTGATAGCGCCAACCATCTGCAAGGGTCAAGGGCACCCCCAGGACCGTACTTTGGGAACCACTAGTTCAGAAGGAACTCCAAATCCTCCGACCTGGCAAATGTGGTTTCGGTACAGCGATAACTCAGCCTCCTATGCTGACAAAAACCGGGTTCTAACCCAGCCATCCTCTCCTCTGTCCCGCACTCTGGCCGCGCACAGCCTACCTTCTGCCTGGAACACCGGCCCCTTCCCCACTGCTCACAGCTGCCCCAGCCAAGAAGCACCACTCCCACCAGTCACCTCACACTACTTATTCGGCTTCTTCTCTGTCTCTGGATCCCTGGAGCCTTCATTCTTTCAAATCCATATGCCTTGTTTCTCCCCCAACCCCACAGGCCACCAGGCCACAAGCTGCTGGGGGCCAGGGCCCAGGGGCCGTGCGTTGTCGGGGCCTGGCCAGCACAGGGCCTGGCAGTGAGTCCAGTGTTTACCACCGATCGGCTCAGGAGGAAGGAAAAGGGAATTCCGTGGGGGAGGGGCGAGAGCCATGAGGGAAGAGAAGGGCTTCCTCTGCCTCGGGTACCGCACCCAAGGGCTGACCACAAGGCCCAGGCCGGCCCAGGCCAGCCCAGGCCACTTCTCTTTGTTGGGCACAAGGAGATGGCAACAGCCTTTGTTCTAGCAGCTACCTTCCTCTCCGCTCCAGAGGACCCGAAGAGTGACCAGCAGAGACCCCGGACGGGGCTGGGTGCCACTGCCCACTCCCGCTCTCCATGGCTTTCCTTGTGAAGCCTGGACAGTGGGACGTGGCAACATGAGGGTTGTGGGCAAGGAGGGGAGAGGAAGGGTGACTCAGATGCTTGGGGGCTGGGGCTGGGGCCAAGCCCCTGCTCTGAGCTCCTTGCGGAAGCATCCCTGGTCTCTCCTTGGTGTCCCGAGTCCCCGTCTCATGGTCCGGCTCCTGCAAAACCTGGGAGAAATGTCTGTGAAATGACTGGCTCATTCCTTTAGGGCCTCCCCTCCAAGCCATCCTGCCACCGGCACCACAGGTCGTTTTAGAGCGCCCGCCGACCCAAATGGCCTTCCACTGTCAGGTGAGCACAACGCAAAGCCCTTGGCCTGGACACGACTGACCTCTCGGCCTCTTGTCGCATCTCTTCCATACTTTCTTACATTTTATTTGACAGACACATAACGCGCTATGTGCCAGGCACTGTTCTAAGCATTTTACAAATTTAAAATCATTGAACCTCATTAAAATTAGTAGTAGCATTATACCCATTTTATAGGTGAGGAAACTGAGGAACAAAGAGATTAAATAACTTGCCTGTGGCCATACAGCTAGGAAGTGGCAGAGCTTGGGTTCCAACCCAGGAGTCTGCTCTAGGTCCATGCTCCAAACCCCTCACTCCCCACCTCTGGAAGAGTTCTCTGCGCTTGGCCTCTGGCACCCAGTAGTCTATCTGGAACGCCATTCCCCTCTTGTGCTTAGTGACCTCTCTCATCTTCTTCCTCTTGTCTTTTCAGAGTTGGCTCAGACACTGGCTCTGCTGGAAAGTTCCTCCCAGCCCCCTCTCCCGGGGGGGCAGGGTGGTGAGCTGCTCCCACGCTTGGGCCCTCTCCCTGTTATTCTCAGCCATTAGCGCTAGTTTGCAAGCCTGCATCCCCCACCAGACTGTGGGCCCCTGGAGACCAGGAATTGCCTGTAATTGCATCGCCAGGGTCTAGAAGTGCCGGACGAGGACCGAAGAGTAAATGGAGGAAAAAGTGAATGGTCCAGGCTCTGCTGCCTGGATGAAACTGAGAGCACAGAGCTTCGGGCACACCGATCCAGAGGCTGGCCAGCTCCCGAGGCCTTCCCGCCGGCACTGGGGGACAAGTTGCTGGTTTGGGCTGCGCTCTTGTGTCTCAGAGGCACACACTGAAACTGATCCCTGACGGGGTTGCCCATATCTCTCTGTGTCTCCCAACACCCTGCTGGCCCCCAGGTCCTTCTTCTCTCGTGGCTGTGGCTGAGACCTCTTGTTGCCTTCTCCTGT